TTAAGATGAAAAGAACAAACGCATACTATATTATATTTTAAACAGAGAAAACAGTTATTTTAAATGGACTAACACTGAATTCGATGAAGCAATATTTGAAAAAATAAAAATGTTTAGCACTCTGCAGCGTATAGAAAACTGTAAATGAAGGCTGATATAGATTTGAGGATGAAAGTACATTGAGGGAAATGCAGTAGGGGAAAATATGTGCAAAAATTAAGATTTCCTATTACCGTTGAAATAAACATGAAACTACTGGTACAGCTGAAATATCCTATCTTCGAAACTGTCAAAATCAAGTTAAAAATAGGCAGATTTTTCAGAAGCATTCATTAACTCGCAGTTACCCATTAACTTTTGTGTGCTGTAATTACATGATTTAAAAGTAATATTCATAGATGTGTCAGAACGATGCCTATTTATTAGGAAACAAAACTGTGAATTAACAATTTAGAGTAATCTTACGAAAATACAGATATTATTTTCTTAAATATGACAGTTAATTTACCACCGGTTTTGAGTGGGTGTCCGCCGAAAACATCGTGGACCCAAACATTGCGGAGAAAAGAAAGCAAAGAGAAAACATCGCGGTACAAAATATCATGGTTCAAAATAAAGCGGTTCGGAAATTTCGCAGTTTAAAAACATCGTCGTCGAAAATATCGTGGTAAAAAATAAAGTACCTACAAATCATCGCATGACGATAACATAGCACACATGCGATTTCAGGTTTTAAAAGTTGTAAATGCATGTTCGCATAATGATTTGGGAGCGCGAGAAGGAAAGAGGGATTCTTTTGCTTCCATATTTCATATTTTTGAATGAACTAATATTTTTTCCCTAAAACTATAAGAAGGAAACTTAAAAATCAGTAAAAAATTAACTCAGCTCTTAGAGCTTAACAGAACTTGAAATTGACATAGTTAATTAACGAGGGTCAATAATAAATTAATCTGTTTTTATAAAGTTTTATTGATAACTTTTATGAAAAATACAATCTAAAAATACTTAGAAAAAGAAAGATAAATAACTGAGTAAGGTTACCTCTATATAAATTGCTTAGTTAATTATCAAATTATTTTCTTTACCATTTGATAATCTGATATTGCTTTAGTGAAAATTATGTTTGTTTTGTTTCTGTTCTTAAAATGTTATTCTTAAAGTTTATTCTTAACATTTTCATGTATAGCGTGCAATCAATTTTTTGGATGTTAATTTTTTAGTTATGGTGAGAGTCAGTTACATAATATGTCAGTATGGTATTTGAAAAACGCATGTGTGCGATGTTATCATCATGCGATGATTTGTAGGTACATTATGTTTTACCCCTATATTTTCGACGACTTTGTTTTTTAAACTGCGAAAGTTTTGAACAGCTTTATTTTCGACCACGATATTTTGTACCACAATGTTTTAGAACTGCGATGTTTTCTCTTTGCTTTATTTTCTCCCACGATGTTTTGTACCACTACGTTTTCGCCTTGTGTTGTTTTCTCGGCGAGGTTTTCGTCCGCGATGTTTTCAGATGTAACCTTTGAGTGCATTCCCATCCTCCCACTTATCAAAACATTTTTACGACATCTTCATTTCTTTAATAGCTTTCTTTCCCTTAAATGCTACTTTTGCGATAAAATACTTCTTTTGACTGTGGGGATAGTTGTCATCTGGTGTTGACTGGGGGGGGCGGATGTCCCTTTGTTCGCCTCTAGTGGTTGGAGCATCACTAACCGCTTTAAATAGTCCAGGTCTGGAGATCCCTTCTAAGTGGCATACTCTCTCCAAGAGTGAAAAAGTGCAATCTGAAGCACAGTTTAGTAATACATACATATATACATAAAACAATTCAGACAGTAAAAAAACTTTCGAGCTCACGGTTAGTTATTATTTTATATAACTTTTACCATCCCAACGTACCCTTAAGTAAAAACTGGGCTCTAAAGAATTAAGATGTATTTTTCCTTTAAAAAAAAGAAATATTTTCAAACTTTTTCATTTCGAGAACACGAACATCATAATAAAGAAAAATAAATAAAATAAAAATCTGAAAGCTTTCAGATTTTATATTACTCTCATAGGGGTGTTTTGTTAAAGTTTTGTATGTTACCGTTATTTATTAAATAAAATTATTCGCACTTAAACCACATAAATTTCAACTCAACAGCAATATTACAAAATATTGAAAACAGCATATCTTTAGAATTTCTGAGAAACAGTCTCGCGTGTTGAGAATAAAAATGTTTTTTCCCGTACAGTGTTGCCATTGCTTCCTTTGAAATCGTTGAGTTTGTTAATCAAAAATTCGTTAAAAATTTTCAAACTATGAAATAGTAAAACAAATTCGAAAGTCAAAATTTGGGCTTCCAGATGCCCATTTTTTGGGTGGTGGATTACGTTAGTCAAAATTTGATAGCTCTAGGTAACGTCGGTTTTTCACAATGCGAGAAACATGCATACATTCATGCAGATTCTTCATTATTTAATTTCTTTAAATATAATACAGGGCGATAATATTTGGTGGCAACAATTTAAAAAGGGATACCCCGTTTATGGTGAACCGAAAAATCCCGTTTTGAGACTAATAGCTGTTCTGAGATAACGCTCCTTTGGACTAAATAATCTTTCACCTGTTTCCGGAAAATTAAAATGGTTAAAGACAACAGCTTGCTTAAATATTAATGCAAGGAGTATTTATTTGAATTTGATGAACCTCTTACAGATAAGCGAAAGATAAATGAGACCGTCTAGAGTAAGAAAACGATATCCTGCTGAGTAATGCAAATAGTCAATGTATGGAAGAAGAAAACACTTGTGTTTCATTCATTTCTTGCCAATTAAGATATAGTAAAAAGTAAATGCCATTACGTCTAATATTTAAATCTAAATCTTTTTACTATTTGCACATTGGTATGAATATGTATAAGTACATAAGAATAATATATATTTTTAACTATACTTAATTAAAATAGTTAAATTAAGTACATAATGTATTGCGTAGTTAAATATTACACAATTTTCGTAGCATTCATATTGATGACAGAAAATGCACAGAAGAGATATTAATAAGTTTTACGTTCACCTTCGCTTCTTTAACCTAAACATTCAAGTTAGATAACTTGTTTATTAATATTAAATATCTAATGCGATCTACTATACTCACGTAATTTATCCATATTTTACATTAATAAATAACCCACGTTTTTGTGCTGTCAGCATTTTACACCATGGATAAATAAATTAACAGATTTATGGCATTGAATTTAAAAGATATGTATATATATGTGATTTAATTTATGTCAGCAATCTTTGAGACTGGACTGCTGAAAAGCGTGACATCATTCGTAATCCTTAACTATTGTTATGGCGTAGTTACAACAGTTAAGCGTTACGAGTTATCTTTATATCGAAGTGTAAAAAAGTGCTCAGTAGTATCGCCATTAAGATACATTTTGGACTTTTGGAATACTACGTTGTTAAAAAATCACTTACTCTAATCTAGGCCCAAAAATAGACATTTTCAAATTTGTGCGTTGTATTTCATTCATGATGTTAAGTCGGCTGAAGGGTTCTGTGGCATTCAAATTTCGACATCACTTAGCGGATAACTGCGGAATGCTCAGACTTTTCACTGTGTTTTAACGTGCGTTTTGTTGTTTTGATATTGAACTGTGCGATCATCCACTCAAATATGAAATCTTTTGACTCAATACATACACTTTTAAGATGTAAACATTGCCAGTAACTTATCGCATCAAATTTTTGTTAACTCGAAATGTTTTTTGTTTTTTAAATCTCAAAGAAATGTAATTGTTTCCAGTTAGCAATAAATTCTGCCTATTACAAAGAGACACCTATCTAATCGATGACATATAATACCTTTCATTTACTACCAGTGTTATACAAAACACTTTCCTCATTAGCATAATAAAATAAATAATTTGAAAAGTCATTTTATCTGGGTTTCTTAAAACCATTTCGCAACAAGTATTATTTGATAGCATGATAGTCCTAAATAATTACGTTTCTAACATTCTACAAGTTGGATTCGAAAATTTCTAAGCATACCTTTTGAGAACATCATCGTAGGCATCCAAAATAAAATGCAATAGTCATGATAAAATTTTGGAGTCTGCCAGGTAATATTATTGTATTAATATATAGCAAATGTAGCACTTTTATTTCATCGATTTTTCGCCAAATATTCTTCTACATTTGCTATATATTAAATACAAAAATGTTCGGTATTTAGGAAGGAATGAGCTCGTACGCAGATTTTGTTTAAGATATATTATCGGCTTCAAATGCGAGAGATGCCAGTAAGTTTCACATTAACAATTAGTTTTTCTTTTCTGAATTTAGAGAGAATTGCAAAACATTCCATTAAGGTACACTTGAAGTCAAATAGTTATACGGATATTAATTTAGGCTCATCTCAAGTAGACTGGTATTTATAACACATCGGAAATTCAAACAGTTATATTTTCTTAACATTACTTTAAAAAAATTCTTAAATGTCTTTAATTATTAAAAATATTTACTAAACATATGTTATATAAAAATATCGCTTTAACGTCTGTAGCATTATAATTGTGTAATTTCAAATAATATTAAGAGTAAATTTATAGCTTTGTAAATATTTCAGAATGTCTCTACAAGTGAAATATTGTGAAATATAATAGTATGAAAAATTAAACATATGATTTAAATTCAAACAGATATTTTCAAAAAATCTTAACGGATATATTTTAGTAGTATTTGACTTCAAAGATCTTTTTTTTTAATATATAACTATTTGTATGTTGTTAATCAGAAACCCTGTGTGAAATCATAAATACTTATGTCAGTTAAGAATGCATGTCTTATAACCACAGAAAATCTTTAAAAAAAAATAATGAAAAAAATCTGAACGTAATTTAATTTCAAGTAATAAAAAATTTTAAAGTCACTATCTGTAATCGTTGAAAATGTAACTGTCTGAAATAATAAGAAAAGTATAGACTTACTTGACTCTTGAAATCTTGTTTAATCCACGAATTCTTCTCAAGCCAAAAATAAGATAACATACCAATACTCACTACCACAAAACTGAAAATAAACGAACAATTTACAAATGGTAAAGTAGCCTTTCTTAAACTCGGCCAACAATAGAATGAAATGACTGAAATGTTTACTCGGAATGGTCATTACGCGAATCATTCAACAGTTGAAAATCTTTGACTTTCTTCAAATTCTGACCACTTATCTGCCAGATCTTTTCGCTTCGCGTCACAAATATGAGCTTCCGAATTCGTCAAAATTTATTCATTCACGATGAAAACGAAACCCTATTTATCTCGGATTAATGATTTTGAGTTATTTAAGATAAAGTATGCCAGAATCATGGATATTGACACCTGGGATAAAATAATATGATATAACACTTGTTTTAGTTTCCTCTATTGAAAAAAATAACTGATAAGATTTTGAACTGTAATTTTTTTAATCCTTTTCCTATTATTTAATAGCAGAAAGGTATATTAAATAATTAAAATTCTATTTTAATTATTCATAATTACCCTAAATTTTTAACTCATGAGATTTAATTCAAGCATGTTTTGGCTTCAAAGACAGATTTTCCTAATTAACTTATGATTTTAATGAACGGATACGTTAGCTTTAAAGCTTACAGGATTTTCATTTTATAAACTCTAGGAAAATAAAAGATGTTGTTTTACAAAAGATGTTGAGTAACTACATTTCAGCAACTCTTCCGTGATAATTAATTTTCTATGAACTGCATCTGAACTTGACAGAAATAACCTGCCGATTTGTACTGCTTGATTATTCTTTATTTTATATTTCTGCTTCTTTAAAAATATGTATTATTATACACCTAAAATAAACATTCTTTTCTCAGCTTTTAGTCTGATAGCTTTTGATTTAGCAATATAGACAAGCATCTTTATTCGTCTTTTAAAATAATAATTCAGGTCATTTTGAAATTAGAAGCTGAAGTGAAGCTTTTCTCTTAGCAAGATAAATTAATGAATGCAGCAGTATTTTATTAGCTAAAAAATGACTAATAATGGCAATCTTCTTTCTTTTATTTATTAAATTTTTCTTCGACACATGCAGAAAGAGATACACATATTTGTATGTAAACAATTATAAACTTTTTAAATTTCTTACTACAGTTTGACACATTTAATGGTATTTCTATTCTGATGAATTTTGTAGCCTCGGAGAAAAATTACCAGAACTCATCTTCATCACCGATTGCAGATGCTCATTGGTCAGTCAAAGTACTTTTCTCAAACTTATTAAATTTCAGCTCCAAAAATCACTGTTCACATAAACTAATAAACAAAGAGATTACTCTTATTGTTGAAAAACCGTAATTGAGGGTATTCATCTTTTGAGTGCAAATAAATTTACAAAAAGTTTAAGTAAATTACATACATATCAATAGAAATTAAATTACATACATATAAAGTAAATAAATTACATTAAGTAAAAATAAATTTAATCAAATTTGTATCTTCAAATCTTTGAAAAACAAATTGTATCACACTGGTAGATTAATTAGCTTCATCTGTATATTTTCTGTTGCGTTATTCACGTTCGTTTTAATGGTGATGAAAATAATATAAAGTCATCAGGGCTTTTTTGGGGGGAGGGGGAAGCAGGAACGAGGAAAAATGCGCAGCGCCCTCACTGGAACTCGAACCAGGGACCTCTCGAGTAGTCTTCTAATTATACCACGAAGACATGTGGAAAGAAGGGATAAAATACCTCATAAATTTAGACTACAATTTATTAAAATCAATACATCGTTCATAAAATTCTTTTCATAATAATGCTATTTTTCTGGCATATTTTTGAGATTTCTTATTTGAAATAATGGGGTAGGATTTAAGATGTAGGAAATATGCGAAATATTTTGATTCAAATTGTGTTTCCCGTAATTCCAATTTAATTTTAGAAAGTTTCATACAAGTATGTTAATGATAAGTTCATTCTTTCCTAGCAGCTCATTACTGAGAATATTTAAATGTCCGGTTAAGTTAACAAGAAATGCTAAACCTGTTTTCCTTGCATAACTATACAGCTCGGGATGATTTTATTTATTTATTACGGTGTTATGAAAATTTTGATTTCATTTATCAAAAAGCTCCTTGACTAAACTACCTCAACTTGTTATATTAAACAATTTGTCTGTACTCAGTTCTAGTTCTAGTTTTTTTTTTTTTTTTTTTTTTTTTTTTTTGTTCCAACCAATGCAACAAACTCGGTGATTCAGAGCTCGTCCGCGGGTAAAGTTAACTGTTTTAGTTATTGTTTAAATAATTTTATCCATTTTTAAAATTTCTCATTGTATTTAGAAGAAACATATAACGGAAATGTATTCGCGGCTCGCATAAAACTGCTTCGACGCGTGCAGCACAGGAGCCTCCAGACTGAGACTTGTTAAAAATTATGTATATATAACTGTTGTAATTTTCAGCAACACCACCACACCACCTTGTAGATCAACCAGTACTTTTCAATCTGCTTTCCTTTCCTTTTCCCACTATTGCCGTGTGTAGCTTGCTGATAGCAAGCTGTATACCGGCTGTCATGAATTAAAAAGTACATTGCAGGTATAGCAAATGCATAAGTGTGTCCGGAGGACAGGATGCAAAATGAAAGAAGGTGTGACTACTTTGTCACGTGAGGCTATAGCGGTGTCTGGTAGGCTGGAGAGATGCTGGTCCAAGTTTCAGGTACAGTGTGCATTTTTACAAATATTCAGTGCATAAACTCATCAAAGTGCATTTTTCTCACAACTAGAAAGACTATATACAAAAGTAAAATTCCGCAGGGAGTCCAGCAGAAGCAGTCAAAGATATCTCTTAGTAGAGGTCTTTTGATTGGCTGTTGAGACGTGTATGCGAAAATCATGAGAATTTGCTATTTACAAAATATTCAATTGCAGAGACATAAAAACATATTTTCCAGTAAACTAGAAGTTAAATTAAATAAAATAAAAGAAATTTGAAACCAATAGGAGCAGTGAGAGATCTACAGTAAGCAGTAGAATCAATCTGCTCCGAGGTCGTTCACGCTTAAAATCATATCGTTATCTTGTTATTCGCCATGACGTCGTCAACGAAAGGAGAAGTAGGCAGATAAATTGCCCTTCCTCCCCCCCCCTAATAAATAAATTATTTTATTTTTATGTTTACGTTGGATTGTGGAGACACATCTGAGTTTCAAAGAACTAGCTTAACGTTTCACAATTGAAGGTCAACATGGGTTGACAAAATTACACGGATTACTGCGCATTGTTCTAGCTCCAAAAAGCTGTCTACGATTACTTTTATAACGCTTCAGCACTTTCCGGATGCAATCGTTCGGTTGTAAAAATTAATATACTAGGGGTTAAAAATGCATTTTCCTTCTTTCGCGTTTCTCGAATATCGCTGATTTTGAATCCAGTAGATACAAAGAAAAGCAAAACTCAATGCAGATTATATCGGCATTCGATTAATTCAGAATATCCTTGGGCTTCCTTTCTAGTTACAAAATTCATTTTATTTTCCTAGCAGTTTAAATTCCTTTTCTTAAATACTGTATATATGTAATGAAACTGTGGTTGGATGACATGACAAGACATAAAAGATTTGATTATGAATGCGGCACGAACTTGCATCTAAATTTTCAGTGAAACAGGACTTTTCCCATGATTCACTGTGAACACAGAATAACAAACCCATGTAGATTTCTTCTTAATTAGAACTGGCCGAAGAATGGTTTGGTTTGGTTTATTGAGATTACGGAAAAGCGCACTAGGGCTATCTGCCTAAGGGGAGGGATGCTTTCGTATACAAGTTACACATGGGGAAAACCACGAAAACGCCCATGCAGCCAACCCGTTCGCGGGATTCAAACCTCAGACCGAACTACCAGTGTTCAGAGACTTTACCGCTCGGCCGCTGGTGGGCTGGCCGAAGAATGTAATGGCAGAACACTTTTGGAGGCACTGAAATAAGAACACTGAGACGTAGATGCGTAGAAATACTAATTGCATAGAGACGTGATGCTTAGAGCGTCTATCCATTTCGAAGAAGAAGCAATCGAAGCCGGATTAAATTCCTTTTTTATTTTAATATTCATTTTGTGGCTACAATTCACTTGCCACTCCACTTTGTTTCCTTTGGAGATGGTATATGGAAAGTTTCTTATTATAAAATATTATGAATATTATGAATAGTTTATATATTATGAATTATTAGTTTATATAGTATATTATTAGTTAATATTAGTTTATATATATATCGGTTTTTGTCTTGGGCAGTTCTTAAAAATTAGATAGCGCGCGAGAAAATGTTAGACTATGAATTTAGAATCCCACATATACACACACATATATATAACAGCGTGTGTGTGTGAGTCTGTGTGCTTGTGTGTATGTGAATTATTCATTTTAATTTTAATTAATTAATTAAATTAGTAATTTTAATTAAAATTTAACCAATTACAACATTTCAAATTTATAACGGCTCCCAAGAATCTCCTATTCATTTTTTTTTTAAATTTCCATTTTTTATTCTAGAAATAGCGATAATTTTATAATAAATATTTCTGATGTGCGTCTTCTTCAAATTAATCCCTGTTAAAAAGGTTCTTATATAACACAAACGATGCAAATACTTACATTACATTAGGAATGGAAATTAAATCTTTTATCCAATCATTATCAAATCAAAATTTTTAAATAACCAATAGCAATTACGCGATACGATTCCCCTCTATTGTCTAACAACCCAATTTCCCTGTTCTTAGCAACCCAGGATCCTCGATTTTCTTATGCTTACATTTGTCCAGCTGTAAAGCATTTTCTCCCTGCTTGCTGCATGCTCTTCATGGTGTAATAACAGGAATAAGTCAGCCGCTTATTATGTTCATTTTTCTAGGAACCGAAACAAATATTTACTACTCAATAGAGAAACCACCGTTTATTAAACTCAACTCAGCCGCTGCTTCTTAAGCTCAGATTGCCAAAAGACTGCTACTTCAGAGCTAGAATATGTTATTTATAAAATCTTTTCGTAGTTTGTTCATTTAACGAATTGAGAACAGTGAATTTATTGTTCAGGTATGAAGTACTTCAATAAAACGGATTTGCTTGAAACGTTTCTACTCCTTCCGTAGTGCCTGTACCTGTGAGACACTGTTTTCACAATTCTTTGTCCGCAATGGACTTCAGAGAGGCAGAATTTCATTTTGTTGTGATTAACAAAAACAGTCCTCTACAGACATTGCAA